TTAAACAAACCACAGCAATTACATATTTACTCATAAATGAAGATATACTAATGAAGATGCTCATGGTAAATTCATTTTAAGATTATGTAATATGCTATGCCATAATTTAAAATAATTTATATAAAAGTATATCCTGATACTGAAATCCTGCTTGCCCAAGAAATTAATACATGCCTGTTTTATCTGTGGTAACATAAATATATTTTGTAAAAGCCAGTTCATTAACTGAGAAAATTTATATCAAATCAACGGTGATTACTTTCGATAATGCAAATGTGAATTGACTTCTAAGTAACCAAAGGTATGACTTTTTTTCATGCTTTCGGTTAATCTTTTATATGCTATGATTGACTTCATACATATACACAAACACACATTTAGTAATGTCCTGTATATACTATTCTGAAAGTGAATCTCTGGTCATTCTAGCTTAGTGCCCTCACAAAGGAAAGAAAAAGTACTACCCCCAAGGCAAGTAGTTATTTTTTTTACATGTACTAATAATTGTTTTACTCTCTTTTTGGCGTGCCTTTAAAAAAATTTTTTTTAGGCGTACCTTTCTTTTTTCTTTTCTTTTTTTTTTTTTTAGATTTTTGCCATAGGGCATGTGTGCTAGCAGGAAAGAGAGAGACAGAGAGAGGGAAGGTGAGAGATCCCCCGCCAGGGGGGATGGCCATGCTGCAATCTCTTCTTCTCCAGTCTCCACTGGGGATTTGTGGTGCACGCGCGCACACACACACACACACACATGCACACACATACACACACACACCTGGTGCGATTTTCAAGCCACCAGATCAGAAACTTGAACCGTGTGGGAGTCCAGCCCCTTAACCACCACTCCACCTGCTGGCCTCAGCATGCTTTCTTTAGTGTAAATATTTTGACGTCGTGTTTGCCTTTTGGCATGCATTTAAAATTTGTGTTTTTCAGGACCAGTAGATGGCATAATGGTTACATCACTGGACTCCCATGTGGTCAACCATGGTTCAAGTCCCAGGCACATGTGCCAGGCACATGTGCATGTGTACCCAAGATCCAGAGAGGAGAATGGAGGAGAAGGGATTGCACCGTGGCCATCCCCCTTTAGGGAGGATTTCTCGCTTTCTGTCTCTCTGTTTCTCTGGTGAACACATGAGCCCTATAGCAAAAGATCTCCCTTAAAAAATAAAATAAGTGTTTTTCTTTTTTTATTATGTTCTTTTTTTTTCTCCACTTGTAATAGCACTTGAAAGATCTATTTGCCTCCGTAAAGAACTAGTTATTTCCCTAACCCCCCAGAGTGTTAGAGTCGAGGAATTCTGTGTGTGTGGGAACCATGGGTAGTGAGAACATTGATAAGGGTACTTTTGTACTTTAATGTTGTTTTATTTTGTCACTGTATTTTCTTGGTCCTTCAGTTCTTTCATATCTTTATGAACTCAGGGTCCAAGAAGCCACCAAAAATACATTAGATCTTCAATAATGTGGACTGTATTGCCACTAACCATTGGCTTGTTTATATTGGTATAGGTCAATAAAATGATGAATGAATAATTGAGAGTAGGTGCCTTAAATAAAGTAAAAAGATGTTACAGTGTCTTAAAATGAATTATATTTGAGTCACATCCTTAGTGGGATTCAATTCTGTGATCAACAAATTCTGAAACATTAAATGCAAGTATCACATATTTTGGTTTTTCTGTTATTTCCTTTGGCACAGACAGACATGATTTTAAAATGCTGGTGTGGGACCAGCAGATAGTGTAAGGGCTACATCGCTGAACTCGCATGTAGTTGACTGTGGTTCAAGTCCTGCACCTGGCGGCTTAAAACCCACACCAGATGTGTGTGCAATATCCTGAGAGAAGAGTGGAGAAGGGATTGCAGCATGGCCATCCCCCTGGGGGGGGTGATTTTTCGCTTTCTCTCTGTCACTCTCTGGCGAGTGCATGGGCCCTATTGCAAAAATCTCTTTCAAAATTTTTTTTTGGGAACCAGCAGTTAGCGTAATGGCTATGTCGCTGGACTCCCATGTAGTCAACCGTGGTTCGCTTCCCGGACCCGGTGGCTTAAAACTCACGCCGGGCACGTGTGCGTGCGTGCCCAAGATCCCAAGAGGAGAATGGAGGAGAAGGGATTGCGGCGTGACCATCCCCTCTGGGGGGTGATTTCTGTCTCTATGTCTCTCTCTGTCTGTCTGGCGAGTGCACGTGCCCTATAGCGAAAATCTCTCCAAAAAAAAAAAAGAAAAAAATTTTTTAAAAAAATGCTGGGTACTGGGACCAGGAGTTAGCGTAATGGCTATGTCACTGGACTACCATGTAGTCGACCATGGTTCGAGTCCTGGACCCAGTGGCTTAAACTCACACCGGGTGCATGTGCGTGCATGCCCAAGATCCTGAGAGGAGAATGGAGGAGAAGGGATTGGGTGTGGCCATCCCCTCTGGGGAGTGATTTCTCGCTTTCTGTCTCTCTCTGTCTTTCTGGTGAGTGTACGCACCCTATAGCAAAAAAAAACAAACAAACAAACAAACAAAAAACAAAAAAAAACCTGGGTACTGGGATCAGCAGATAGCATAATGGTTACGTTGCTGTACTCCCACATGGTCAACCGTGGCTTGAGTCCCAGACCTGGAGACTTGAAGCTTATACCCGGCGTGTGTGCCCAAAATCCTGAGAAGAGAATGGAAGAGAAGGGATTGCAGCATGGCCATCCCCACGTGGGGGTTGATTTCTCGATTTCTGACTGTCTCTTGTGCCCTGTAACAAAAATCTGTCTAAAAAAAAAAATGCTGAGGGAATATCCAGAAGTTTAGGTAGAGACTCACTCATATCCACAGTTCTCTCAAATTCACTGGAATTTTAATTTTCTATTTGCTCATTTGTTTCAGGCGGGTTTTGTTTGTTTGCTATAGGGTGTGCGCGTTTGCTGGAGACACAAAACCAAAGAGAGAGAAAGCGAGAAATCATCCCTCAGAGAGATGTCCACATGACAATCCCTTCTCCATCCTCCTCTCAGGAGTTTGGACACCTACGCACACGTGCCTGGTTTGAGTTTCAAGCCACTGGGTCTGGGACTCAAACCTGGTCTACCCTGTGGGAATCCAGCACCTTAACCACTAGCTACCTGCCAGCCCCTTCATTGGAATTTTTAAAATGACTCAGTGTATATTTTACACTTAAAACTTTAACAGGCTGCAGGCTGCCTTCATTCATACTGATAACATACTCTTCTACGCTTATATTTTCAAAAATTGGGGAAAAGTGAGAATGAGATACTTCTGCAACAACACTCAATGCATTGGTTAGGTAGTCTTTTTGAGTCTATCTGGGCAGTGGTATACTCAGGGCAGGGCAGTGGGACCCTCTGCCAATGAGGAGTGTTCTGTCACTATCACTGCTGCTGACAAGGAGCAGACTGACTTTTCTCAGGTTTCATTGTTTCTCCATTTTGTGCCAAATGGCACACCTTTTATTGCCTACACCCAGGAGTGGCTCCTTTTCGTTACTCTTGGGGTACACTGCATACAGGGCACCAGAAGCTGGCCCAGTGTTTGATTTTTAGGACCGCCTTTGTGTTGACACCATCACAACCCTTATATGGAAGTAATCAGAATAAAGGAAATTTTAAAAAGAAATATCAGGAAAATTTGATTATTACATTGTTGACACTTGATATTTGTTATCATTTGTCTTTTATTTTCTTATAATAGTTTCCACAGTTGAGTTAAGAATTGCCACTCTAAATGTTAGCAGTGAAATTTGAATCCAAGTATATTGAATTAGACTTAGGTATTATATTCTCCTTGTTGACTGTAACACACAGTTCTCTACAGTACTTTAAGACAAGCCTCACAAAGTTTATTATGATAAGCAAGATCTCTATTTCCCCAAGAAACAAACCATTTACAATGGAGAGGAGTAGAAAACTAAATGTTAGGCCGGCAGGTGTTGTGTTGGTTAAGGGTGCTGGACTCTAACATGACCGACTGTGGTTTGAGTCCCAGACCTGGCGGCTTGCATCCTCACTACCTCCCCCGACCCCTGGCTTCACTCTGTCTCTCTCTGATCAAATTTAAAAAAAAATAATAACTAAAGTTAATTTTTTTTAAAAAGAAAACTATTTAAACATTTAAAAAATTTTATAATTATAATTCTTAGACATTAAAAACCTCATTTATTAGTTAATTCTGGTACAATTAAAGTAGAACAAAAGAATTTTTAAAACCTATGTTTATGTACTGTATTGTTTTGTTTTCATGTACATATTACAGTATATAGAAGACAAAGTATAATTTTCCAAGTCCAGAGTGGTAAAGATTATTAGAGAGTATGTGATCTGAGGTGTCTTTTTTTTTTTTTTTTTTTTTTTATATTTTTCCCATAGGTGTGTCCACTTGACAGAGAGAGACAGAGAGAGGGGAAAAGTGAGAAATCGGCCCTCGGGGAGAATGGCCATGCTGCAACCCCTTCTCTTCCATCCGTTGGAATTAAGGTATGCATGCACTTGAACCCAGTGTGATTTTCAAGGTGCCAAGTCCAGGACTTGAACTGTGTTAGGTCATGAGGGATTCAGTGCCTTAACCACCACACCACCTGCTGGCCCCCTACTGGCCCTTACATCCCAGTTTTTATTTATTATTTTTAAAAATAATTAATTAATTAATTTTCATTTGATTAGAGAGGGACAGAGTGAGAGAGAGACAGAAAGTGAGAAAGCAAGCCATCAGGTCCAGAACTTGAACTATGGTCGGCCATGTGGGAGTTCAGCGCCCTTAACCACCATGCCAACTGCCGGCCCTACATCCCAGTTTTTAAACTAGTTACTTTTCTTATTTTTTAAAATAATTTCTTGCTCAACTTCATTTATTATTATTATTATATTTTTTTAATTTGATAAAGTAAGCAATAGGTCCAGGATTTGAACCATAGTTAGCCATGCCACCTGCCAGCCCCAAACTAGTTACTTTTCTAATGAATACTGTTAATTTAGGATAATGTTTAATTTTTTAAAAAAGGGACCATTAGATGGCGTGATGGCTACATCACTGGACTCCCATGTAGTCAGTCAACTTTTATATCGAGTCCCAGACCCGGAGGCTTAAACTTACACCAGGTGCATGTGCATGCGTGCCCGAGATCCTGAGAGGAGAATGGAAGAAAAGGGATTGCAGCGTGGCCATCCCCCCTGGGGGGGGATCTCTCGCTTTCTGTCTCTCTGTCTCTCTGTCTTGGGAACGCAGGTGCCCTATAGCAAAAACCTCTCCAAAAACAAACATACATTTGATTATAGGCAAAACCAACAGCCTTTATTTTTAGAAAACCATACTAGTGCAACCATTTTGATTAATTTTTCTCTTTGCTAAAATACCCCTGCATTTTTCTACTGAAAAAAAGAAAAAAGTATAGATAAAAGACTTCCCTTCATGATTACACACCAGCAGTTACTGGCCTGCTTTCAAAAGCTTAATGTTAGTTCCCCTTTTCTTTGTGACCTACAGTAGCATTTCACTATCGTACCCAATAGGAGAGGAAAGGGGTGAGGAATTATCTTAGTTTGACTGATTTATAATTTTAATAATGTACAAGTATTAAAGTTGTCAAGGTTTTGTTATTACTTTCTAGTATGATTGGTTTTTTAGATGGGAGGAGTGGGGACAAGGCAAGGTATTTTTATACTGAAGGAACAGTCTCCTTTTGCAATTCCTGGTCCTTGGGAGGTTGGGCAGCATCTGAATTGTTCTGTGTGAGGCCTGGGCCTAAGCTGTCTGTTTCACTGGACATTTTCCCATTTGGCTCCAGATGTCACCATGACTAGAAAGACTCACACTATAATCCTACTAAACAATGATATTTCCTAAAACACCAAACTTTTCTTTAAAAAAAAAAAGGAAAAAGGGATTTATGAATCATTCCCTTGTGTTTAAAATCAAATCCTTACTTTTCAAATGCAACTCCGTAGTGATTTAATATCTTAATTGGGTGGGAGAGAAACTATTTTTTCTATAAATGTCTGTTGCTTTATCAAATAAACACATGAAAAGACTTTCAAAATTGAAGCATCCTGTGTGTTTAACTTAAATTATAAGTAGGTTTTCCACAAAGATGGCTGTCAAAATGGGATAATTTTATTGCTTTTACCCTAGGGCACATGCACTTGCCTGAGAGAGAGAGAGACTGTGTGTGTGTGTGTGTGTGTATGTGTGTGTGTGAGAGAGAGAGAGAGAGTATGTGTGAATGTGAGAAACCACCCCCCACCACTGGGGGTGTAAACCACACCACAATCCCTTCTCCCCCATTCTCCTTCTGGGATTTTGGACCTACGTGCACACATGCCTCACATGTTTTTCAAGCCTCTGAGTCCAAGACTTGGAACTACACAGCCAATCATGTGGGTTCCAGCCGCCTTAACCTCCATACCACCTGCTGGCACCAAATGAGATAGTTCTTTTAGCACAAATGTGGTTGTTTATTTTACATCATAAAACATTTTCTAAATGACTTGAATCTAAGAGTTGTCATATGTTCTCAAGAGTAGAAATAGTATTCCCTGGGAAGTTTCATGTGAATTATGTTCTCGCAAAAAAATATTTTAAAGTCTTACTGAATCTACTTTTTCAAGTATAAGAAGTGCTTCATGACTATTTGTTTGACTTATGAATAAAATATGTTTTTGACAAGACAGTTTTGGGACCACCAATGGCATAATGGCTATGTTGCTGGACTCCCATGTAGTTGACCATAGTTCGAATCCCAGACCTAGTGGCTTAAACTCATGCCAAGGGCATGCACGTGCGTGTCCAAGATCCCAAGAGGAGAATGGAGGAGATGGGATTGTGGTGTGGCCATCCGCCCTGGGGGGTGATTTCTCACTTTCTGTCTTTCTGGTGAGCGTACCTGCCCTATAGCCAAAAACAAACAAACAAAAACAGCTTTTGGCTATTACTTCTCTCTTTAGTAACAATTATATTTGTAAGGTGTTGAACTATGACTCAAAAATTATTTTTCTTAAAACTGAGAACATTTGTTTCTATTTGGTAATCACAAGTATATTTTAAACTTCATCCCCTCCATCCCACCCACCCCAAGAAAACAGTAAAACAATACATTAACTTTTGGCACACGCATAGCTATGTGGGCAAATTAAAGCAAAGTCAGTCTTTATTTGGCATTTGATACTCATAGCTACTAGACACAAGAAGAATGGAATTAGATTTGACATTACCTTGGTGGCTCACATTCATAGGCATCAGAGGGGAGCTCACTCTTCTTAGTTTGGAAGTATCTGTCAACGGGAAGGCGTATTTTGTCTATGTAGATCCAAGCACCCAGGACCTGAGCAGCCAAGTGCTGAGCGAAGGCCACCACCTGAATGGAACCTACAATCAGAAGTGTTCTAGTGGATTGTGAACAAATAACTTCGAAAGGAAGATGACGATCGTGCACTTTTCCTGAAAGGGTTACTTCCCTTCAGTTTACTGAGTTCCTCTTAGTAAGGTTTATTACAAAATTCAGTATCTCCCATGAGAAAGGAAACAAAATACAAGGACATGATTATGTGAATTTAATTGGTCAAACCACAACACCCTCAGGACCAAGGCCAGAAACTCTGAGCTGGGTTCTTATATGGGGAAAAATAACAAAAAATCTAAACCTGAGCCTATTCCAAAGGGTGAGCTGATTTAAAATGATTTAAAACAAACAAACAAACAAATAAAACATCGCAAAATGGCATCTATAGACAACAATGGAAATTTCTATGGATTTTTCATTTCTAGGCAATTTCCTGTCCTTATAACTTTTCTTCTATTTTGTGGATGGAGCTGAGAACTAAAAGCCCTATCCCTCAAGGAACTGACATTCCAGTGATAAGCATTATGCAGAAAATAAAGCTAGATAAGAGAAGGAAAAATTAGTGTGCTCTTTTAGATGAAAACACAGTTCTGAGCTCACATAAAGTTATAAAACCTAGATGTAAACTCACTGATAAAATGTTCTCAGTTGATTTAATGTATGCATGCTCAAAAGAAGCAAGTATCAAATTGCATCTGGACATAGAAATCACCTCTAACAAGTTTTATTTGTTTTAAGAGAGATTTTTGCTATAGGGCCTGTGGACTTTCCAGAGAAACAGACCGAAAGAAAGAGAGAAATCACTCCCCAGGGGGGACGGCCATGTTGCAATCCCTTCTCCTCCATTCTCCCCTCGGGGTTTTGGGCATGCATGTACATGCACCTGGCGTGAGTTTTAAGCCGCGAGTCCAGGACTTGAACTGCAGTCAACTATGTGAGAGTCCAGCAACAACCATTATGCATCTGCTGGTCCCTTGCCTCTAACAAGTTTTGATGGAAAGGAAGTACACTGATTTTTCCCAAGCAATTTTGTCCTTTCACGAACAGGAACTGTTGTGTAATAGATCTACCACTTTGATCTGTACAATTCCAAATTTAGGATTACATTTCATTTAAAAACATTTTTAAATTTTTAATCACTTTAATTGCTGGGGGTGCATGCATCCACCAGGAGAGCATCCTTGAATAGGGCCCAGTCGTGCTATAATTCTTTTTCCTCCATTTCTCCATCTTATTGGCATTTGGAGTGTGTGTGTACATATGCCCAGCAGTTTTTTTTTTTTGTTCTTTTTTTTTTTTTTTGAGGGGAGAGGTTTTTGCTATAGGGCATGTGCACTCGCCAGACAGAGAGAGACAGAGATAGGAAGCGAGAAATCACCCCCCCAGGGGTCATGGCCATGCTGCAATCCTTTCTCCTCCATTCTCCTCTCAGGATCTTGGGCACGCACCCACATGCGCCTGATGTGAGTTTAAGGCACTGGGTCTGGGACTTGAACCACAGTTGACTACATGGGAGTTCAGCGACATAACCATTAAGCTAACTGCTGGTCCCTGCCCAGCAGTTTTTCAAGCTACCAGGACTGGGACTTGAACTAAAATCTGCCTTAAGGGATCCAACTCCCTATGGATAACACCTAACTGCTACATGACCATCATAGCCTGTTTGTTTAAAAATTTAAATCAGACCAGCAGATAGCGTAGCATTTATGTCACTAGACTCCTAAGTAGCCCACCATGGTTCAAGTCCTGGGCCCAGCAGCTTAAAATTCACACCAGGTGTGTGTGCATGGGGACCCAAAATCCCAAGAGGAGAATGGAAGAGAAGAGATTGCAGTGTGACCAGCCCCCTGTGTGTGTGTGTGTGGGGGGGGTGATTTCTCACTTTCTGTATCTCTGTCTGTCTCTGTCTCTCCCATGAGCACATGTGCCCAGTAACAAAAATCACTCAAAAAATAAATCGTTTTAAATGAATGGGACCAGCAGATGGCATAATGATTACCTTGCTCCACTCCCACATGGCCGACCATAGTTTGAGCCCTGGATCTGGTAGCTTGAAACTCACACCAGGAACATGCACATGTGCCCAAAATACTGAGAGGAGAATGGAGAAGTGATTGCAGCATGATCATCCCACTGGGGGTATGGGGATGATTTCTCACTTTCTGTCTCTCTGGCGAGTGCATGTGCCTAATAGCAAAAATCTCTCTCAAAATTTTAAAAATCAAACAATATTGAAACCAGCAGTTGGCATAATGGCTATGTTGCTGGACTCCCATGTAGTCGACTGCAGTTCGAGTTCCAGACCCAGTGGCTTAGACTCACACTGGGCACATGTACGTGCGTGCCCAAGATCCCAAGAGGAGAATGGAGGAGAAGGGATTGTGGTGTGGCCATCCCCCCCCCACCGGGGGGTGATTTCTCTCTCTGTCTCTCTGTCTCTCTCTTTCTGGTGAGCACACGTGCCCTATAGCAAAAACCTCTCAAAAAAAAAAATCAAACATAATTTACATAAAATAAACTGTACTATCATAAAGTGTTTAATTAAGTTGGGGCTGGTAGGTTGCATGGTAGTTAAAGTGTTGTACTCCCACATGGTTGATCACAGTTTGAGTCTTGGACCTACTGGGTTGCTTTCTCGTGTTCCCCCGTCTCTTGCTCACTCTCTCTCTGTCTCTTCGATCAAATTAAAAATAATAACAAAAAATAATTTTAAAGTACATAATTGATGTATAGTATATTTGCTATGTTGTACAATCATACTAATTCCAGAACATTTTCATTACCCCAATAAGAAATAAATTCTTTTTTTTAGAGAGATTTTTGTGTTAGGGTGCATGTGCTTGCCAGAAAGACAGAGACAGATAGAAAGTGAGAAATCACCCACCCAGGATGGATGGCCACTGCAATCTCTTCTCCATCCTCCTCTTGGGATCTTGAGCTTGCATGCACATGTGCCTGCCATGAGTTTTAAGCCACTAGGTCAGGACTCAAACCACAGTTGACTACTACTACTACGTCGCAGTCCAGCGACATAACCATTATGCTATCTGCTGGCCCCAAGAAATTCTATCTCTATTAGCAAGCAATTCCCCCTTCTCCCTGTCCTCTTGCAGCCACTGTTCTACTTTCTGTCTCTGAATTTACTTAGTCTTGGCATTTCACATAAATTAAATTATGCAATATGTATCCCTTCATGTCTGCTCTCTTTGCATAATGTTTTCAAAGTTAATCTTCATAAAGTATAACAGCATTTCATTTCTTTTTATGTCTGAGTAACATTCCATTGTATGGATATACTACACTCTGGAACCTTCCCAGGTGGGTCACCCTCAGAATTGTGTTACTGTTGCACCACATCAAGCCCTGTCTGTCTTTTTAAAAACAATTATTAATTTAATTTTTATTTATTATTATTTAATTTACCATAGGGCACATGCACTCACCAGAGAGAAAGTGAGAAAGCAAGCTGCCAAGTCTGAGACTCAAATCATGGTTGGCTATGTGGGAGTCCAGTGCCCTAACCATTATGCCACCTTCTGTCTTTTAATTATAACCATTCTGATGGATGTGAAAGTGGCATCTTACTGTGTTTTTAAGTGACATTTCTGTAATAACTAATGACATTGAGTATCTTTTCACATGCTTATTGGTCATTTGTGTATCTTCTTTACAGAAATATCTTTTCAAATCCTTTGCCTGTTTTAGGGACCAGCAGTTAGTGTAATGGCTATGTTGCTGGACTCCCATGTAATTGACTGCGGTTCGAGTCCCGGACCCGGTGTCTTAAAACTCACGCCGGGTGCATGTGCGTGAGTGCCCAAGATCCCGAGAGGAGAATGGAGGAGAAGGGATTGCCTCGTGGCCATCCCCCCGGGAGGTGATTTCTCGCTTTCTGTCTCTCTGTCTCTGTCTGTCTGGCGAGGGCACACAACCTATAGCAAAAATCTCTCAAAAAAAAAAAAAAAACATCCTTTGCCTGTTTTAAATTGAATTGTCTTTTCACTGTTGAGTTGTAAGAGTTCTACTGGGTTGCTTTCTCGTGTTCCCCCGTCTCTTGCTCACTCTCTCTCTGTCTCTTCGATCAAATTAAAAATAATAACAAAAAATAATTTTAAAGTACATAATTGATGTATAGTATATTTGCTATGTTGTACAATCATACTAATTCCAGAACATTTTCATTACCCCAATAAGAAATAAATTCTTTTTTTTAGAGAGATTTTTGTGTTAGGGTGCATGTGCTTGCCAGAAAGACAGAGACAGATAGAAAGTGAGAAATCACCCACCCAGGATGGATGGCCACTGCAATCTCTTCTCCATCCTCCTCTTGGGATCTTGAGCTTGCATGCACATGTGCCTGCCATGAGTTTTAAGCCACTAGGTCAGGACTCAAAACACAGTTGACTACTACTAACCATTATGCTATCTGCTGGCCCCAAGAAATTCTATCTCTATTAGCAAGCAATTCCCCCTTCTCCCTGTCCTCTTGCAGCCACTGTTCTACTTTCTGTCTCTGAATTTACTTAGTCTTGGCATTTCACATAAATTAAATTATGCAATATGTATCCCTTCATGTCTGCTCTCTTTGCATAATGTTTTCAAAGTTAATCTTCATAAAGTATAACAGCATTTCATTTCTTTTTATGTCTGAGTAACATTCCATTGTATGGATATACTACACTCTGGAACCTTCCCAGGTGGGTCACCCTCAGAATTGTGTTACTGTTGCACCACATCAAGCCCTGTCTGTCTTTTTAAAAACAATTATTAATTTAATTTTTATTTATTATTATTTAATTTACCATAGGGCACATGCACTCACCAGAGAGAAAGTGAGAAAGCAAGCTGCCAAGTCTGAGACTCAAATCATGGTTGGCTATGTGGGAGTCCAGTGCCCTAACCATTATGCCACCTTCTGTCTTTTAATTATAACCATTCTGATGGATGTGAAAGTGGCATCTTACTGTGTTTTTAAGTGACATTTCTGTAATAACTAATGACATTGAGTATCTTTT